TGGGGAGTTTATGTTAATGGGAAGGGACAATTAGGAAAACGGGGGTAAGAAAGACTACTTGATTTAAAGAAAAATTGAGTGTTGCCTGGCCTACTGATTTTACAAGAGAAATCAGAAATCTGTATCTCTGTGTGAAAACTCCTTGGTTTTTTAAGTGTTAGCTATTAATTCCAAGTTGGATTTAAAACACCATACTTAATGGACACTAAAGAGACTTAACAGTCAAATGCAATGAACCTTGACTGGCTCTCGATTGAAAAAACCAAGCTGTAAAAGATATTTTTGGGGTACCACTGGGAATATTTCAATATGATTAGCTACTTGATGAAATTATAGAAGGCGAGCTCATTTTCTTGAGTGTGATAATGGAATTGTGGTGTGCAGGAGAATGTCCTTTTCCTTAGGACAGCCACACTGAAGGATTCAGGGGTGACGCATCATGACTCCAACTTTTTTTCCCCAAAGGCTTCAGCCAAGAACATAAACCAAACTCATTCCCATCAAGTCAGTGACAACTCCTAGCAATCCTGTAGGGCAGTGGGGCACTGCACCTTGGACTTCCCAAGGCTATAAATCTACATGCACGCAGTGATGAGTTCAAACTGCCAACCTTTTGGTTATCAATTGAGCACTTTAACCACTATACCACTAGGGCTCCGAAGGAGGAGAGAGAAAAATAGATGCACAGAGAAACAAGGAGTTTCACTGTAATCCTGAAGGCACTTGGTTCAAGGACACTAGTTGCTGTGCAGGAGAAATATGAGCAATCTCTTTCCATGTGATTAACTGCCTCTGAAAACCTGCTGGAGGGACAGCTAAGGGTCAGTTCCAACTCTTCTGTACACGACTTAGCAGTACACAACAATAACAATAAGAGAAAGAGAGCGCAAATATGGAAAAATTGAGCAAATAAGACAAAATACTAAAACAAAAACCCTTCAAACTCACTTTTGAGTCAGAACTCACTCATAGCTGACCCTCCAGAGGTTTTCAGAGGCTGTAAATCCCAGGGGAGGAGACTGCCCATCTTTCTCCCTCATCACATCTGGGAGATTCAAAAGGCATGCCTTTAGGTTGATAGCACAACTCCTTACCCACTAGGCCAACAGAGTTCCCTAACAAAACACCAACAGCTGTCAAATCTAGACCAGTGGTTCTCAGCCACGGATAATTCTGACCCCAAGGGGGCATGGGGCAATGCTTAAGGTCACTGCTGGGATGAGAGGATGATAAGGGTACTAGTGGCACAGAGTGGGTAGAAACTAGGGGGGCTGCCAAATACTACCTGGCCTCATCGTGTTTTACTTGTTGTAGTCTAACCAAAAGGTCAGCAGTTCAAATCAGCCAGTGGCTCCATGGGAGGAAGACGGGCAGTCTCAGTCGTAAAGATTTACAGCCTCTTCAAAAACATCATGGAACTTTGGTCTGCATGGGATTTGGCTTGATAGGAAGTGGGTTTGTTTTCAATATCTGGAGCGACTCAGATCTAGATGAAGGATATGTTGTGGTTGTTATTTGTTACTGAGTTGATTCACCCTCGTGGCAATCCCGTACAGGTAAGAGCAGAACAAGAATATACACAGCTAATTTTCAGAAGATTGCCAGGCCTTTCATCCTAATGCATACAGCAAAAGCTCAATAAATGACTGTGGCTGCTACGGAGTAGATCCCAGACTCACAGCAGCCCTATGTGTGTGAAGCAAAACAGCCGCACCGTGTTTTTCATTTCTGTGACCTTTTAAAAACAGATCACCAGGCCGATCTTCAGAGGCACCTCTGGGTGGCCTCAAACTGCCAACCTTGTATATAGCCATCACAGCCTTTTACATAGCACTTAACTAATTGCCTGCACCACCCAGGGACAGAAAGAGATATTACAGTTCATTTTCACTATTCTCTTTAGGTTGTTATGCATAAGTTCTCGCAATATATTTTAAAAATAAATAAATAAAACTTAAAAATAAAAATAACACCTTGAAGCTAAGCAAAACATATTGGTAGGCATGGCTGGCTACCATCTCCAGTTACTTCTTCCTGTAAACAGGGGTGTCTGTGGCTGCAGCTGACCTGATTTAAGAGGCCCTGAAGGCCAATGTTAAGCACAAGGTCCTCTTCTCCCTCAACTCCAACCTAAGAAGCCCAGGAGAAAGCAGGCAATGAATGAGCTGGGACTTGAAGGTAAACTACATCTTGGGTGGAATCGACATTCACTCAAACCTGTTCAAAGCCCAGGTCCCCACGAGAAAATACAAGTACACTGGTCATGTGGAAAGCAAGCAGGACCAACAACATATTGTGAGTAGGTGTTTTCAGGTGAGGTGAGGACTAATTTGATCTTAGTACTCCTGGAAATCCCCAGACCAAACAAATTAGAAAAGCTGCCTGATTTTCTAAGGACGTGTCCTTGGGCCAGCCACTTAATTAAAGCTATGGTCTCCTTTGTCTGTAAAATGGGAATATAAACAGTACTTCTTAGAGCGCACGAGAGGAAGACCTGGATGAGATGGATTGAATCAGTGACTGGGGTAATGTGGGTAGGTGTATCAGAGACGATGAGATTGGTTCAGGGATAGAGTTCACAGCTGTTGTACATAGGGTTGCTATAAGTAGGCGTCCACTCGAGGGCACATAACAACAACATTAACAACATAGGATAGTTAGGAGAAATCCAGGAGAGAATGCTTAAAACAACATCAAACAGTATCACGTGCAGTGTCGGGCACACGGTTCTATGCTCGGCAAATATCAGATCCTTTTACTTAGTGATACCCGGGCAGCAGAGTCTCCTGAGGTGCTGTTTTAAAGGGGCAGCTGCTCCGACTCCATCCCCCCTAGAATCTGAATTTTAACAGGAGCTGCTGGAGATTTTTTTAAAAGCATTCTCCGTGATTCTAAATTGCAGTCAGGGTTAAAAAAAAAACAAAACAAAACAAAAATACACTAAACCTTAAACTGACTAGTCAAAATCCACAATTTTTTTTTTTCTCTTTAACAGTACACTGAACTTCTATTCAATTCTGGGATTTCAAGAATTTTGACAGTTGAGATGGTATCCCCCGGACTAGATACCCTGAAGTTCCATGGTTACCTACAGAGGTAAGATCAGACAGCAGCCCCTTAACAAGAGAGGCTTTTTCACCTGCAGAGCTGCAAGGGGGCAAGGAGAGGGGGAGCCAGGTTTCATCCACACTCCAAGTTCAAGGTGAAGTACTAGTTCACTGGGGCTCCTAGATCAAAGACGGCCTGAAGCCAACTCTCACTTTCCCCTAAGGAAACCCTCCTCCTCCCCTAGCCTCTGAACCTGGCTCCTTTGGGAACAGGGTTGCTCAGGAGAGGGTGCGGTGGAGATGTCAGCTGAGGAGTCACTCGAATCTGCAAGGCTGCCTACCTGTCTCTGGGTGACTCTCCCCACCATGGTGATGCCTCTGCAGCACCTCTGCTCATCACTTTAACACCAAAGCCTGGGATCAAAAGGGTCTGGCCGGTGCAACCTGGAGTGCAAGAGCTGTGGGCTCTGTCTGAGCACCTGGGGGCTGCAGGGGGTAGACAGAGTCACAGACTTATTCCTTTAGTAGGTCAGGTTTTCCAGAATCCCCTCTGAGCTTTCTCTAGGGAATCCTTTGCCTGGAGACCTTACTATCCATCCACACCTCCCTCCTGGCCAGCTGACCCAAACCTAAAAGAATTTCTTCACCTCTTTCTCCAAATCCCTCCCCTCTGGAGGGAAAAAAAAATAATAATAATCGGATACCCTGGGGCGTATAAATAGAAAATAATTACTAGTGAGGTGGTGATGTTCCTTTGCCTATTTTTGGTGGGTCTCTTTGTTCAGATTCTTTTAAGCAAGCGCACGGAGCGGGTGCACACACACAGGCCTCCGGCGGAGGTGTGTTGGGGGGTTTGTAGAACGAGGGGAGGAGACACCAGGCCACTTCGAGGTCCAGACTCGGGAAGAGGATAGAAAAGGCTTTCGTCCAGGCTACCAAGATGTTTGCACAATGCTGTCTCTCCTTCACCTCTCCCCTCCACCCTGGGCCTGGCCCAAGCTACGTTCTCACCACTGCGTCCTCTGCCTCCAAAGTTACAGGGTTGTGTGAATCAATTTAGACACTTACAAAAAGCAAAAGGCAAATAGCTCCATTAATCCCCAAATGCCTTCTTCCATCTGCTACGACTTGCCTGTGCTGGGACTTGCATAATAAATGAGGCAAATGGAAAAGTTGGCGAATCAGAGTCCCAGGGGGGTGAGCGCCCGCGGGGAAAGGGCTCTAGCCCTGGGGAGCCCGTGCCAGGCGGGGCCAGGGGTGTAGAGCGTGGCCAGCACCGCCGCAATGGACAGACAAAAGTGTGTCAGGGGCCAGGGGTTCAGAGAGATGCGAACACCCATAGTCCCGATTCCCGGGAACTGCAAAGACCCTCGCAGCTCTGAGGAGGCGAGGCGGCCGCTCCACGCGAGGCTTTTGTTCTCGCCCTGCCCTCCCTCTCCGCCTCCCTCGCTACATTTTCGCGAGTCGTATGAGTTGCAGGCGGCGCACACGCTTACTGCCTCCCGAACACGCGCACGGGTTCACACACGCCCCCCTTCCCTTTCGGGCTCAGCCGGCCCTGTTTACCTACAAGCTCGCCTCTGGAATCTGGGGGACGCCACGAGCCCCCCTCCCCAAAACCCAACACTTCAAGACCATCGGCTTCCAAGCCCTGTCTCAAGTCCTCCTCAGTCTTGAGGGAGAAGGGGAGGCAAGCAGGAGGAGGGGACGGAGGGGACGGAGGGGACGGGGGAGACGGAGACACACACACATACACACACACACACACACACACACACACGCTCCTGTGCACACCAGCGCTGAACCCAGCGTTCCCCTCTCCACGCGCCCGGCCGAAGTTGGTTTCCCGGGGAGGGGGGTGCAGGCCCTCGTGAAAAGGATGCTGCTGAAGGTGGGAGGGGGAGAGAAGGGAGAGCGGCGCCCCGAGGAGAGGGCGAGGGGGAGGTGGCCCACCTGGACATGTGCTCCCTCTGGGGCCGGTGCGCTTTCTCCAGCCCCAGCTTGGTGAAGATGCCCACGAGCACCATGACGGCCACCACCCCGCAGATGATGTAGACGATCAGGTTGGTCTTGTCCTTGGTGGGGTCGTGCAGGGGGTCGTCCTTGCGCGCTGGGGGCTTGCCCGTGTTGAGCCAGAGCGGCGTGTCGTAGTTGGTGCAGGTGCTCTGGTTCAGTCGCCGCTTCTTAAACGTGCAGCAGAACCGGAAGCCACAAGTCCCGCAGCAGAAGATGAAGTCGCCCGAGCTGCAGTTGAACGGCGGATCCCACTGGCCCATGACATCGAAGTAGCCCCGGCAGAAGTCTGGCGTGGGTGCCCGGGTCGGGGGCGCGTCCGAGACCCCCGTGCCCTCGCCGACCTCCCCGGAGGCAGCCCCAGAGCGGTTGCTACCCGTTAGCACCAGCACGCCGCCCAGTTGCGCCAGCTGCCCGTACCCCGCTCGCTCCTGCGCCCTGCACACGCGGGCGCACAGCTCGGTGAGGAAGCAACCGAGAAGCAGCCGGAGGACGCGGCGCATCGTGTCTCCCAGCCCGGGCTCGGCCGCTCGGCCGCCGCTGGAGCCGCTGCAGCCGCCTCTCGAGGCGCCGCCGAAGCTGCCGAGGCTGCTGCCGGGGGCTGCGAGCCGCCGCGGGCCGCACATGCAGGGAGCGGCGCGGGGCGCGCGGGGTCGGCGGCCACTGCGCTCAGCTCAGCCCGCGTTCGCCTCCAGTGCGCCGCGCGCCAAGGGGCCGGCCGGGGAGGAGCGCGCCGGGCAGGGCGGGGGAGGAGGCGCAGGGCCACGCGGGGTGCAAGTCCGGCCCGCACAGGGGGGAGCCGGGGGCCGCCAGCAGAGAAAGTCTGACCGTCTGTCCGCGTCTCCCCCTCGGCTGCGGCTCCCGACTCGCCGCCCCGTGTCCGCTCGCAGGATCCCTCTCACCTCTCCAGCTCACCAAGTGTGCTGAAAGCGAAGAAGCGACACTTGTGGAATGAAGGAAGGGCAGTAGGGAGGGGGGAGTAGGGAGGGCGGGCAGAGGAGGCACGGGGGGCGGGGCGGGCGCGAGCTGGAGAGGGGCGGGGGCGCGAGGAGAGGTGACTCTGGCGGGAGGGGGGAGCGAGTTGGGGGGCGTGCGGAGCAGAGCGAGCCGGGCGGGCGGGGAGGAGCCAGCATCGGCTGTCGCGGCAGCCGCAGGAATAGCTTGGTTTCCCGGCAGGTGGAGGATGGCGGCGGCGGGACCCCCGCGTCCTCTCGGGGCGGAGAAGTGCGACTCCAACCTGTCCAGGGCGCAGAGGCGGCTCCTCCCGGGGCTTTTTTCAGGGATGCGTGCACAGGAGCTACGGCCCGAATTGGCCTGCCCCGGGAAGAGGTGACTCCTGGAACCCGGGTCAGAACTAGGAGTCTGGGGTCAGACCCGAGAGGCCGCCCCGGTTGGTCAGAATCTCTCTTCAGGCGCAGGGGGGCCGCCGCGCCCTTCCCAAACCTGCACCTTCTGCTGAGTGCGCAACTGCGGGTCCAACTCCCAGGGCCAAGGCGCTCTGGGAAGCCTAGGTGGTCAGCCCCTCGCTCCTGCCCCTCTCCTGGAGAGGGCTGGATAGGAACTAAAGGTTTAAAAAGCGCTCAAGGTAAGGAGGGACAGCGGACCTGCCTAGGCAAGGGCAGATCCCGGAAGATGTTCACCCGGGACTCCCCAGTCCCTCCCCAGACCTGCCACTTTCTGTCCTTCTTCGTCCTCGCAGCGTTCTCTGCACTCCACAGGAGGGCATACCGCGGCGCCGCTGTGCGCCTGACTCTGGCGCAGCGCAAGGCCTGGACACCTAGTTTTGGCCACCCTCCTGGACCTGAGCCCGCGCATCCCTCTCCAGAGCCGGCTGGCCGGCGTCCCCCCAGAGCCTCTGTCCTCACCCGGGGCTGCAGAGCGGGCTCAGCTTCCTCTGCTTCCAGGCTCTTTTCGCCTCTCCGCGTTTCCAAATCGGCCCTTTCCCTCCTCAATCTATTCCGGCCAGCCCTCGGCCCTCTCCTATTTCTTCCAATCCTTCCTCCGCTTGAATTTGACTCCCTGTAGCCCCAAGAATAGGACTTGTACCAAAACTGCTACACCAAATTTAGATCTCCCCACGCCCCGGCGTTTTGTTTTTTTAATTGCATTAACTAAGTATATACTTTGCAGTCTGCTGGGCGATTTGCAGAGCAGGATGTTTCCTCCGCCCTCTCCATTTGGCTGCAGTTAGGACTTTACAAGGCATTTCCTAAGAGCCACTCAGTTTGGCCACCTGTAAAATGGAATACTGGGGTCTCCTTCATTGCAAAGGTGTGGGAGGTTTTATGGGGACTCCATTGCAATCTTTTTTTTCCCCCAGCATGAGAGTTTATCTAATCGAATCTCCTTGAAGAAATGCAATCTGCTCTCTTGTAAAAGATTTGCAGACCCACCAGGACAGCAGTGAGGTAGTTTAGCTAGGGAGTGTACCAGCCTTGGAACATTGTCTTAGAGCCCAAACCCACGGAGACAAGGTGTGAGATTATTTTTCCATCTTCAGCGAATTCAGTATGATGGGATGCCCAAAATAAGACAGCAGAGCCATGTCCCTATGTGACTGGGAAGCATATGGGAAGCACACCCGCCATCAAGGTGTGAATCTCTACAAACACAAGCATGGGTGTGTCAACTAATGGTAGCTGACATTATTTCTGAGCTTGCAATAAAGCCACTAGATTTCTTTCCTAAAATCACCTCCGCCAGGAAGCTTTGAGTACTGCCTGGCTTATACAGCAGATACACTGCAAATATTTGCTGCGCTGCTGAGAGAATTATCCCATTTATGGCTCTGTCTTTAGGTAATATAGCATCCGGCCCACACAAGAGAAGGAAAGGCTGAGACCTGAAATCTGTTCACAGTAGCCTCATTGAGGAAGTGACTGAATTGGCATTTGAATCTAAGAAATTCGGCTCCTGTGTTCTAACCCCTGCACACACAATGTCAGCCATAAAATGGGTCTCCAACTCTCCGTCTGACATTTTATACCTGTTACAAAATATCCTCACCCCATTAACATGTAAACTCCATGCCAGAAAGGGCCTGGATTCCAGATGTGTCCTCAGCACCTAGAACTCTGCTGGACATAGTAAGCTCTCAAAAGAGATTTCTGTGATGGATTATCTAATTAAGAGTACTTTGGGCATTTCGTTTTAATTTCTAGCCCTTGGAAAAGGACATCATGCTTGGAAAGGCCATCAAAAGAGAGGAAGACCTTCAACGAGATAAAGTGACGGTGATGATAACAATGGGCTTGAGTTTGGGAGAGAGTGGAAGGGTGGTGCAGGATCGGGCAAGGTTAGGATCTGTTGTTCATGGGTCACCATGGGTCATAGTCAATTCCACCGGATCTAACAACAGAAAGGCAAGAGGTTCTACACAACACAGGTTGGTAATTACATCTAGAGGGCATTAATGCTTAGTGAATGAAGTCACACCCAAAAAGACACGCTGTCTAAGAATGTTATGATTAAGAGCTAGAGAAAACTTTACACATAGAATCATTCATGTATGGTTATCAGAAATGGGATGGGAGTGAGGGCAGAAAAATTAATAAATCTATGATAGACATTTATTACAATGGGTGAAGGGAAAAGCAATATACAATAAGGAAATGATCAGCATGGTGGATATTGTAATTCATGTTATAAAACAAAATGCATAAGAATGACTGAACGGAAAACAATCTGCTTTGTAAGTGTTCACGCAAATCACAATTTTTAAAGATAAAAATCTTTCCAAAAGAAACCATACCCAGTGAGTGCAAGAAACAGTTGTACTGTGTAATGCAGGGGGGCACCATAAGTCAGGTTTGAGGGGCAGGGGGGTGGTGATGTATGTGTGTGGTTATACACCATCCTTAGACCAAGAGAAGAAAGGAACAGTTAGCACACAGAGGACAGTTTCTGCTGTCATAATACAGAAAAGTTGGAAAGCATCTATACACTAAATCTGAATTACAATGGGCTCCACTCCCTTGCTGTCTTGGCCCAAGAAGCTAAGCTTAACAAAGTTAAGGGTTAGTTCAACGTCGACTGGTAGGCAAATGAGAAAATCAGGAGCAGTTGTAGATGGCCAGTCTCCTTACCCAGGCCTCTACCCAGAATCCCCAAAACCCTAACACCACTTAGGAAGATAAGACAAGGACAGGGCTTAGTGGCCTGGTTCACTAGGTCTGGGGTCTTAAGAGCACTTCTCTATTTGATTTTTAAAAAGAATAGAACCCTTAGAGAACAGAGGCAAATTCTAGACAGGAAAGTCTGTCTCTTCTCTGCTTCCACATCTCTGTAATATACTTCCTGTCACCAGGCCAGCCGACTGAGCCCTCCAAGGAGACTCGCTCTGGCTGCTGCTCCCAGCTTTAATTAACAGAGACTGCCCCCTGTTTGTGACAAGGAGAGTGGAAGGATTGTGACTGGGATGGATTCTGACCCCCATCCACCCTCAGTGGCTTGTATGCCTTCAGCCTTCCTAGTCTCTAAGCTGGTCCTGGGCCAGATCTCCTATCTGCTGAAGCTGCAGCCAGCCAAGAACAGAGCTCCAGCCTGATTCTCAAGTCTCTGTTAAATAGTTAAAAGAAGGAAGAATCATTGTGATTTCTTTCACTCTCCAAGGCAACAAGTCCATTTGCTCTGGGTATGTCAAATCAGTCAGTACAGTCATTCCTGGATAATAGGTGGGTGATTATTGAACTCCTGCCCCATAGGGAACACGTGATTGAGAAGGCATTTCTTTCAGGGCTCCAGTGATGGTTTGTCAACTCCTTGACTGAAACACCTGGCAAGTTCATAGAAGCTGAAAAATCATCCAGAGATGCCCCACTGCTTCCACCACTACTATCCTAATGACTTCGTGCAAATGTGCTGAAATTAAAACGCAGGTCTTAATGAAAGAGCTTTCAATGAAAGAGCTGATGACGTTATTATTTACATCAAGGCGATTTTAATATCTAAAGAAGAATCTCATTTGCTATAGCCTTAATTATGTCAGATTGCACTGCGCGCCAGGATGAGAGCACTGATTGTTCTCCCCAGCAATTTGCTGGCAAGGTGGGGATGCCACAAAAAGGAGGTCTGCTTACCCGGAGGCTGCAGGAAACATCTCCATAAGCAACTCAGCACATTCGATTATTTGTGCTGCGGTCCTCATCCGAATGTCTTTCCTTAGTTCCTTAATCAGGCTCATCAGGTGGTTTTTAGGATTTCAAAGAGGTTTCTAAGTTATTATTATTATTATTATTATTATTATTATTATTATTATTATTATTATTTGCAGTCGAGTTAACTACAACTCATAGCAACCCTATGAACAACTGCTCCGAACCTTGCCCTCTCCTGTGGCAATCTCACTGACCCCACTGCCAGTCAAGTGTCAATCCACCTCTTCTAGGGTCTTTCTTGCGCTCACCCTCCATTCTTCCAAGTATGATGTCCTTCTCCAAGGACTGGCTCCTCTGATTACATGTCCAAAATATGTGAGATGGAGTTTAAAAATCTTTGCCTAGCA